TGGAGGAAGAAGAGGACGGGGAAATTGCTTTTCTGGATGTCAAGGTATCGAGGCAAGAATATGGGTCGCTACACACCAAAGTGTTTCGAAAAGCAACCATCACAGAGAAAATCCTTCACTATAAGAGTAACCACCCGCTGTCGCATAAACGCAGTTGCATTCGGACACTGTTCCTACGCGTCAACACCCACTGCAGCACACAAGCCAAGAAGCCACAGGAACGAAAGTCCCTCTGGCAACTGTTCCTCTCCGATGGATAGCCCAGGAGCTTCATAAACAAATGCTTGCACCAAAGGGACACTAGGACAGACGGAGAATATAAAAACAAAAGCCCACTATCATCTGCGCTCTGCCCTACATCACTGATGTCTCCGAGGCCACTGAACGGATACTGACACCCCTTAACGTGGGCCTGGGTCACAGGCCAGAGGCCGAAATCCGGCGCTTAACAATGCAGCCCAAAGGCGGCTACCGCCTGAGGACATGTCGGGAATTGTCTATCGAGTGAATTGCCTAAACTGTCCGGCCAATTACTGTGGAATGACGGACAAATGGCTAAAATCGCGCATGCATGGGCATAGCTTAGCCGTAAGACGAGAAGATGTCCTCCCACAGGTCGCCATGCACAGAATTGAAAATGACCACCAGTTCGGGTTCGATAGTGCAAAAGTCATCGACCGGGCGGAAAACAAAATGGCGAGGGAGGTGATCGAAGCCTGGCAATCGGATGCCAACTCGATCAACAGAAGAGTAGATCTACCGGCGCCGTATGGGGCTATGAAACACCACTTAGGCAAGAGGAATGGACCAATGGAAACAGACCCTGATGAACCTATCAGGAGTGAATAAGAAAAGGCTTATTTAAACTATGTATTTCCCATTTTTCCTTATCTCCGATGATACGCTAAAGAACGAGTGTATAACGTGAGACGATAAATATACCATCCTCCCCAGAGACCGCCTTACTTCTTCGCCGACTGTTCGGAGAGCTAAACGGCTCTGCTTTATCAAAGCATGAACTGCCGATATCGATCAGCATTTTGAATATGTGGTTGTACTCGGCAGTGAGCTGATCTATGTTCTTCCTTGTTCGCTGCCTTGCCGTGTTGGCTTCGGTTGACGGCAGTTGGTATTGTGCTTCGTCTTCACGGTGGAGGACGCTAGTAATCCTGCTTCCTCCTCCGGTGGGTTCGTCCCGGGGTCATCTTCGCTTGCGCTTCTTGAGTTAAGTTTGACCTTCTCTTGACGTGGGAGTTTTGTACGCTGCGAGGTTTAGATGGCTGTTCACAGAAGTGGCATGTGAGTACCATATCGCAATCGTCAATCTTTCCGCTTTTGGAGTGCTTCGGTCTACGATGGTCACTCCTTGAATATTGACGGTGTGGCCAGCCTCTCCAATATGTTTAGAAAGCTGCGAGCTTGGGTCAAGTCTCCTAGCCTCCAGTTTGTGTTCTTGTAGGCGGGTCTGCAATTTTCGCCCTGTTTCTTCCAGAGCCGGCACACCTCTCCGAAACGTCAGCGAAGACAATAAAACTCGTTCCGGTGAGCATAAA